ACTCTAATCAAGGTCTATACTGCAACTTCCCCACCCTTTTCCAACTAATTTTCTTTACTGTTAGAACCCCATCCAATATGACTTCCACACTCTGTTTAGGTGTGAAAGATAAAGAGATGAAAACAACACATTCCATCTAGGATCACCGTCCAGAAGGAGAAAGACATGTAAGTAATAAACTACAATACAACTCAGTAAGCACCGTGTCCTAGGTATTATAGCATAGGACTGGAGGAGCACCTAACTACTCAGAAGAATTCAATAAGCATTTTCACAGAGATACCTGAGTTGAGATGGAGGATGAATAGAGATTAACTATGAGAAAATGGGGATTGGGTGGGAGTAGCAAAGGAAACAGCAAGGACAAAGGCCAGGAGGTGCAAACCAGCTTGGTGAGTATGCAGAACTATGAGAAACTGCAGTATTAATATTCGGCTGGTAGGTACAGGTAGGGCTGGATTTGTTTTTTATAGCCAGTGTCCATTCTGATTGGCTAGTATCATTTCCTTTGTTAAGTGTTTTCGAATACTAGCCCCAGCTAGAATACAATAAATGAGAGAGGGAAGAGAAGGAAGTGAACCGAAAAGATAGGCAGGACCAGATTATTTCTAAGCCTTGAAGCCAAATGGGGGAATTGGGCTGTGGTCATGCAGCAACTGGAGAGCAATAATTGTTAGATTGATTATGCCACCACTCTGCTCAGAGACTTCCACCTATATCTCATCGTTTAATAAACACGAAACCCAATTTACATCTTAGCCTTCATTGATGTCTCTCTGTTCTGAGCAGTGTTTAGACCCCAAGGTAACAATTTAGAGAAAGGAAGACAAACAAAAGGTCTGAGGTCCTTTTGTGTATGGCTCACTTGGGCCTAAGCCAAGTAAGAACACAAAGAAGGGAGATCTATAGTCTCAAAGAAGAGGTTTATAGAGTTTCTCTTAACACCAATCTCCCGCTCCCAAGATACCTGAGGGCAAATTTGAATCCCATAAAAAGTTGGGTAAGTCACTTTTGTTGTTGCAAAGGGAATCCTCACAGTAGTTACTGTAGGAGACTGCAACGATGCCGGGGGGTGGAGAGTGCTGGGCAAATGTTATGGACGGTATCCCTTCGGAGACGCAGCTCTTAGTGACAAACACTGCTGCCTTGGCCCCTGTTATGAGACAAGAGGAAAAGAAAGTGGATAGTGCACCTAAGGTTAGCCTGGGGAAGGGGGAACAGTCTTGACAAGGAAACAATCCACCTTTCTTCCCACCCAACCCAACTGTCCTTTTCTCATGTTACCTGATTTAATCATCAGCACAGATTCCTGGCAAAGTGCGTTATTGTCACAAGTCTCAACTTTCTCTGAGGTCCAGTTAAATGCACTGCTGTTATCCTCTTTTATACTCATTGATATACCCTTGTGACAGTACAAATTTTGTGCCACTGGGGAGAAAATGAGATAAAGATAAGCACTTGCTCCTCTCTGTGGGACCCAAATCACACCTTTTCCACCAGAAATCCCTTCTGTGATCCAGCTGTTCCCCCACACCACCCCCATACATACAAGTCAAGAGTGAGGCTCCTAGGAGAAAGAGGAACAGCAAACCCTGGATGTGATGAGTTCCCATGGCTTCTTTTAGGAGATCTGAAAAAGCTGATCAAGATCTGTAATGTGATGAAAAGAAAACTTTTCAACCATATAAAATGAGATTAAATCTAGGTTCTGGCAAGTACTGACTTCAGGGCAGAGTTTATGGTATATAAAACTATGACCTCTAAAGTCAGTCTGTCCCAATCTAGCTGTAACTCTCAGACCCGGCCACCTATACCCTTAACACTAGTTCAACATCTCAATACTCCCTAACCTCAGGAACGAGGACTCTGGCCCAAAGGTGTCTTCTTCAGACTCTGGAGTCCAGGTTCAAAACTATACTCTGTCAAGGCCCAGGTAACCCAGTCTCCCGCCCCCAGCTCCATCAGAACCCAGGGTTCTGAGATCCTAGCCTGTCCTACCTAAGGATCAGGGAGTTTGGGTTCAGTTCCCTTTTTTGCAGAACACGTGATTCTGGGCCCAGCTCCTCCTCTCTCGGACCTCAGTAGTCCTCTAGATCCAGCTATTAGGGATCTTAGCCTCCTCTTCCCCCAGATCCATACGTACAGGATTCAGCCCCACCTCCCTGACCCCCAAGAGCTCAGGCTTTGAGCTCTCTCCTGTCTTAGATACGGGAGTCTGGGTCTCCAGCCTTCTCATCCCCAGCACCTCTGCCCTCAGACCCAGGAGACCGGCCCCCAGCCCCTTCTCCCTCAGACCCAGGGGTCCAGGCCCCCAGCCCCTACTCCCCCAGACCCCCGAGTCCGGGCCCCACGGCCTCACCACCCTCTTCAGACCCAGGAGTCCTGGTTCCCACTTGTCTCTTTCCTCAGGACCCAAGAATCTGGGTCCTCGGCCCTCTTTGCCTCTTTAAGAGACCAAATTCCTCTTGGTTTTCAGATGATCTCACAAGAATTTCACGGTGCTGACGGTGCGCTCCGGAACGCCCCTCCTGACCAACCCGGCTTTCCCTCGGAGGCTCTGAGGCGCACGGAAGGCGGGTCCAACCTCGCCGCACGGGTCACTCGACGCCCCATTGGTCAATGCGAAGGCATCCGATGAGCTCATTGGATGAGCTCGGAGGAACGCCACGCCCCATTGGCCGTGGAGAAGCCTCTTCCTGGCAGTCTTGGAAGGGGCACATGCGCAAAATGGCGAGCGGCGGGCAAGGTCGGGGAGCGGAGTTCACTGATATTCGCAATGCCTGGCTTGCATTGCAAGACCTGCAGCGCTTCCCTGAACGACCTCCCTCATCTCTTTCTCTCCATGAGCTGTGGAATCTCTGCTTCTCCAGCCACTCTAGGAGGTCAAACCCTTGGCCCTCACCCACTGAACTTCTCTCCCTGCCCAGATGGACTTTCATGTTTCCAACCTGGCCCCTGTCCCAGCACCCACCCAGTGGTCGTAGCCAACGTGACCTAACTCTTCACTTGCAGTGATTCCTACTCAGCCCAGGCGTCATCCTGTGATGGCGTCTTCCATTGATTGCATCATGGCACCAGCCCTGTCCATGGTCTTTTGGAAGGCTGAATAGAGGAATGCTGGCTTCAGTGTTATTTCCAGCACCCCAGAATGGGCATGAGCAGTAACTGTGGTGGCACAGGTTGCGGTCATGTCTATGTCAGAACTATGAACAAGATGTGTCATTCAGATTTCTTGTTCATGTGGAAAATACTTTCATGTATATATAAAATTCCCAGATGTAACAGGAAGAAAAGATGCCCTTTGTGTACTTTCAGACTTGGTACCGTTTCAGTGAGTTCTATTATTTTCAATAGAGAAAATGCCACAATAAGAATGGTGTTTGTAAAAGTTCTTAATTCTATGTAAAAATATATTAAGAACTTTCAGTGGTGGACAGTTAATATTAAGAATACAATTATTAATATTATTAACATACATATTAGAGACCATTAATATAAATATTAAGAGATCTGGTCCCAAACACTCTGTCCCTGAGGACCTAGGAATCTGAGTCACCCTCCCTTCTTTTCAGGACTTAGGGCTCCAACTCTCACTTCCCTTGATCTGTAACAATAGATGGTTTTTGTGGGGCACAGGCATGGGGCAGGATCTCAGATCTTGGCCCACAATTGCCACTGCAGGGTTAGAGGGAACTGGAGACCCAAGAGGGTAGTTGAGAGCTGCACAGCCACCTGCTTCCAGCTCCAGAATCCTGTCTCTGGTCCCTCATTCCTTCCAATCTCTATTACTAGCACTTTTCAGTCCTGGCCCCACAGCTGGCTTCTAGCACCTATAGTGAAGGTCATCTTAAACTGACACTTGGCCTATGCATTTGTTCCCTGTGGCTGCTGCAATTAAGTACCAAAGACTGAGGGGGCTTAAATGACAGAAATGAGTTGGTTCACAGTTCTGGAAGCTGGGAGCCCAAAACCAAGGTGTCAACAAGGTTGGTTCTTTCTGAGAGGGAAGGATCTGTCCCAGTTTCTTTTCCTTGGCTTGTAGATGGCTCACTTCTCCTTGTGTCCTCACATCATCTTTCCTCTATATGTGTCCAAGTCTTCCCTTTGTATAAAGATGCCAGCCACATTGGATAAGGGCCCATCTTAATGACCCCATTTTAACTTGATTACTTCTTTAAAAACCCTATGTCCAAATAAGGTCACTTTTTGAGGTACTGGGGGTTAGGACTTCAACTTATTCATTTGATGGGTGAGGGAGACACAATTCCACCCATAACAGCCTGCTAGAGAGACTCGTGTTACAGATGAAGTAGTGAGTGCCGAACAGCACTCCAGAGGCATCCCAGTACCATTTTGTGATTTCTTTCATCTTAGTGTCCTGCTAGGACCTTGACCAATTCACTAACTAGGATGAGGAGTGGGACCTGGAAACAGACCCACAATATTGTATTCGGGGGGTTTCCATCACCTAGGAGGAGCACAGCGAGAAGCACCTTGATGGGGGAGGATGGAGCATAGATGAAATAAGACCTGTGGTAATCTCATGATTGTTCAGATTATCACGTGATAATTTCGCTGTTGAGCAGTGAGAGAAGTGCAAGTGGAAAGCAAGGGTTTGGAAGTTGAAGTGGCTGTAGCGCTTTGTTACTGTGACAACTGTGGTGACTGTGTTGATTGTGAAGTCAGTTGGTTTCTTTGGATGATACCAGAGTGCAAACATGGGGAAAGGAGCAGTTGAAAGTTGAAAATGTCCAAATGGAAATGCGATGGTCAATCAGAAAGCTTCCTTGGCAGAGCGTCCCTCGTCTCCTCTAGTCCCAGGGCGGCTATGGCTGAGGACCAAGCCCAGAACTTGAATGAAAAGCTTGCAGAGTTGCACTGCCAGATGCCTCTGCCAGACTATGCACCGTGAAGGCACCGGTGACCCTCAGACATGGGAGGGAGACCTCGGACAGACTAATCCCCCCTCACCCTCCTCACCCCCTCGCACATCAATTGCCGCCCAATTCCATCTGAGGGAACCAGCTCTCTCCTGAACAAAAGCCTGCTAATGATGCACTTGGGATAGTCTCCTCACAAGGGAATGCTTCTCTTCCAGAACCACAAGAGTGAGTTTCCAACATAGTCTAAAGAAGCACAGGGCTCGGTCTGAGGTGGGCACGCCGCACACCGAGAGCCTTACAGGACCTCGCCAGTTGGCACTGGCAGGAGTCTCGGAGTGTACATATGAATAGATTCTGTGCCAGTTATCCATTTATTGCCTCTCAGCTCCAGATCACTCTTTATCGCCCTACCGGATCTTGCCAAGCATTTTTCAGTCCTCCTTGCGCAATGCTAGACTTTGCCAGCAGAGGGTGATAGAGGAACATTGCAGAAGGATGGGCTTCTCTTCCAGCCCTAGGGGGAGAGGTTGCTCCCTACATCTCTTATGCTTTATTCTTTAGAGTTCTCTTTACCCTTTAGTCACCAAACCCCACGTTAACTCTAATCCCCTGTCAGTAGTTAATAATTCTTTATATTAAGCTTCCCCTGTTAAAATTAGTGTGTGGTTTCTGACTCTGCTTGGACCCTAACTTATACAGATTCTAAGGGTATGAGACTACAGAGGACCAAGAGTAAGGCTTGATGAGCCAGATCCTTTCACATGGGATATAGGATTTTAAAATATTGGCTCAAGTATCTGGGACTATCATTACTAGTCTGCTAGATTAGTCAGTTAATCTCTGAACTCAATGCTAGAGCTTCTCTGGCACATTGAAGAGAAATAGAGTCCTAAGTTTGGGGACATGGAAAAGCTGGAATGAGTTTGTCATGTACAGCCTCCTCAATCACCTCCTTACTATATCCTCTGAGAAGACATTAAGAACACAGTGGAGGGGACACCAAAAGCTCTATGGTGGCTCACCTTCGAGGCAGAAGATGCTTATGGGACCTGCTGAAAAAAGAGGATCCCGGAGTGGCCAAGTGGTGACAATGAGCATGCAGAGACAAAGCGGCCCTGATCATGGAGATAATTAAGGAGCAAAAAGGTCATTGGAGTGTTTTAACAGTCAGGGATCTGTGATGAAGCTAAATAACCAGGGGGCTTCCCAAAAGTGAAGTCAATGAGAAACCTAAGGAGCTGCTTGATATAGATAAAAATTTTCTGGTTCCGATGGGAACAAATAGGATTTGGGTCACCATAACAGGGATTTATGACTTATTATCCAGCTCCCAGACTAAGCCAGCTCACAGACCTGGAACCCCATGAATGACGGGGGAGGCCGGGTCCATTTGAGAAGGACCCTGCAGTGTAACCACAAGAGTAGACAGTGAAACTTCCTCCACATCAGAGAGAATAAAGGCCATTGATCTTGGGGAGTTGGGTTCCAGTCAAAAGGAAATAAAAGCTCAGACCTTGTTGGAGTTATTTCGGTGGTGGCTTGGGATGGGTGCTGATCCCCACCGTGAACCAGGTCAGGGCTCAGATGGAATTTAGGTCTAGTTCCTTTCCCACTGGGCCCACAGACTCATCTTTTTGTTGTTTATGTCATCCCAGAGCGTATAATAGGAATAGGTAACTGGAAAACCCCCGCCTCGTTTTCTTGACTCGGAGTGACGGCTTTTATGGTAGGAAAGGCCAAATGATGCT